CGTTGCATCAATAGACAGTGATGATCTTTTGATAATCTGTAAAATGGTTTCATGTTAGTTCGAACTAGATAAAGTGCTTGATGTTAGTGAGTGCTCCTGTTCTATTTGTTTTGCTTCTTTAAAAGGCAGTGGGCACGATAATTTGATTGCTGCAGGAAACGGAAGTAGAGACACTGAATAGTGCAACAGTAAAGCAAAAACGAGAAACGATCAAAGACGCCCAAATAGGGCCCTTATCAAATGCTCCAATCAGGAATTGGATGAGTTACGCTTGGGAGATCACCGCTGATCAACGATCAATACGGAGAAATCACGCCGACTGCAGTGAACAAGAAAAACATCACTTCAAGTGGCAGCAGTCCTTGAAGACAAACTGTACACTCACCTCTGAGGGCATTCCTTGCAATGTGCGGAGCGAATAAGTCCTCAACTGCAGTACCGCCCGATTTTCTCCGCTAAAAAATTCCCAGGAATGGGGCTGTAGGGTGGTGATGTCCGAGTGCCGTTTCCATACTCTGATGGCGCTATCCCAAATGTGCAGCGCTTTCGTAGCTAGCAAGGTCCCGCAGCGAAACACGCATTCTGTGGTAGAGAACAGGGATGTGAGGGCTTCACACGTTGGCTCGCAACGGTTCATTATCTCCTACATTGCTTGTTGTGCGACTTTTCGTATTTAGTTTAAAGGAATGTTCTTATTGCATACAACCCACCGGTGTCGCAAGTAAAATTCAACGCATGCAGCATGGAACCGCAAAGGTGACTCACCGCGTTGGCGAATAGTTGGCTTCCACGCGTTGCCGCAGTTCGGATCTCCTAGCCCTTAGCGTAGACAACGCCACTGAACTTGCTTTGGCGTAATTTGAGTAAAGTTGCACATTTAGCGCTCGGGCGTGAAGGACTTCACCATCTCTCCAGCTTCACTGCTCATTCCTCGAAAGGCACTTGGTAAACTCCTGTCACGGGAAAACCAACTTCGCAGACATAGCGTCTTTAAAGGCAGTTGGCACGATGGTTTCCTACTTAGCCTAAAATGCTAGTAGGGCGCTGTATAGTGGGGAAATGGCGAAAGAACGGAGTGAAACGGTCAAAATCCTGCGAAGAAAAAGCCTCCGTTCTCAGTGACTTGTAAATCGATTTCGGACGAGTTTCCCGTAGGCATCTTACCAATCACCGCTACCGAAGATACGGCTGCATATGTGTACCCATGTATGCATGCAGCATCACCGCTTCATACCAATCCCTTCGCTTCATAATTTGCTTAGCAAATGAATGAATACGAGCGTCAGGAACGGTCGTCCATTTGTGGGCGGGCGGGCGTTTGGGACGTAAAGTTGTGGCTTGATAGGGCCCTTATGGGCAGGTCGCGGAATTCTATCCTGTCAAGATATTGAACCTAACTCTTTGGGGAATCCTGCCACACTGCCTTTGGTCTTAGCGCCACACAGGGCACGCCTTCAAAAAGAGGATTCGTGCCGGCATAATGCGCCACCCTGGTGCTCGCTGCGTCGTCACGTGCTATCAGGAGGGCATGGGTTCAGCGCGCTGCCAGCCGTTTTCACCAAAGTAAGGTGCAGGCGATGCAATCTGATGGGAAAAACTGGTTGGTTCCGCACCAAAGCCAGTCCCCTCTGGACGCTCTCGATTTCCGACGCAGCCAAGACGATGCATGTCTTGTCAGAGAAAACACAAACCATGAACAAGCTTGCTAAGATGTTTTTGGTTTACACGATATGTAACCTCACCTGGGATAACAGTAGCGATACTCATGCAACAATAACAAAAACGTACATTTACCAACTTACAATTATTAAGAAAGGTGCACTAAAAGGTTCACAGATAGTTATTGTATTAGAGCTAATTCCATATAAGTCAAGATTACCCTTATTAGCTGAGTATTAGTGGCTTCACACTCGGTCGATTAATACTTGAATAAAGTGAATACAAACTTGAGACAATAACCGTAATGGATAAATAAGCTTAAAAATGTGTTCAATAATAGCAACCAACAGAGCTGTTTGAATAAAATACTCGGAGTATAAGAGAGCACTTATCAGTCCTTTTCAACCTACAAATGATAAATACAAATGAGATACAAAATGTGGATAAACTTAGTACAACACTGTAATCAGCCTGAGTAATGGATGGGCGCTAACACAGTGGGAGGTGGCGGGAGAACCACTCCGCTGGTCGCGTATCTCCTGCCCTGTCACGGGAGTCGTCTAGCGCTCTGACCTTGAACCTTCTGTGTTAAAGACGATACTGGAACATGATCGCGGATAAAATGACGCCCTCCCTTCCACAACTTTGCGGTCACGATCCCTGCAAACGATGGGGCTTTTGACGGGGCGTGAACTGGAACACAGCCACGACCTATGTCATCATTGTTGGAATGAGGGCCGCCCCGACGGCGCTACAAATCGCGGCTCGCCACACGCCCTATCGTTCCCGGGAACATCACTGAACGCGAGAGCCCTTGACGTGAATGTCTTCAAGTTAGTCAGTAAAGTCAGTCTCAAGGTGAATCATGCAGATGAAAAAATGTGTTCAAAATAGCTGGAACTGAGAAACAAGAACAGTGACGCTGTCACCGAGATCTTTCTTAGTAGCACTGTTAGTATTGTTGGTGAGTTTCTGAGCCTGCGCATTACATGGACGTCGGTTTGGTCGACGGATTGTAGGAGAAAACGAAGTACGAGCACGAACAAAATGATTTATATGTGACATAACCACAGGTCCTAAACACCACAACCTTTAAAAATTGGATTGTTTTCCTTTAGGAAGATTTTCCGGCCAAGCAAATAATTTCGGGGTTTAAGCGAAATGAGACTTTAATAATTCGATTAAGCATGAAGTCTAGCTGCCGCTCTCTTCGTCATAGCGTAGAATACCTAGGTAGGATACGGAAGGGGTAATACCAGGTCGTATCAGATGAGGAAATTCGGGGGCAAGGGATCGTACTGACACTGCCATTTCACCCACTATATGCGTAAAATACCTAGGTAACATTTCACCCACTATGTTATAAACCGATTTTGACTTTAACGGCTGCTGACTTTTGACGATCCTCGAAGGAAGAGTAATAAAGCATAGATAGTACTAAAAACTCAAAAACTCACTTGACAAAGAAGAGTTAGCAAAAGCCGAAACGCGATCAGACCACAAATTGTAAGGTGCTGTTGACGCAGTTAGGATGGAAATTCATCGTATTACCATAACCTCCTGTCCAACTCATGTTACCATGGCTTCGTTCCGATGTATTGCAACTGTTAGTATTAGTATAATAAGAGTGGGAACCAACTCGACGTGGAATTCGAGGATGTGAAGTGTTAGTGAAGTGCTGTGTAGTGCGTTTATTCCAGTCCACACGCTGACTAGGAGGGTGAGATCCTTGGAGAGAATACGGTTCAGCACCAGAATTTTTCGAATCGCAGCGTCGTGAGTGAGTTTGACTCGTAGTCACAGCAGGATGTGTGCCAGCATGTGGAGGGGGGCCGCGGCCGTCGAACATACCACAATCGGTGTTCCAATCCCTGGACGGTTCACTGGAAAAAGAAAATGGAGAACAAGTAAGAGACGGCGTAAAATGTAGAAAACAAATTGAAAAAGCACCTCCTCCTTTTCTGAAAACTGAAATTTCCTAGGAGGAAACTCCGAATCCGCAATTGCTGTCAAAGTTTTGAGCTATTGAGCACAACTGGACTGTAGTTCAGGAGAACCCAGGTGCGACACTTCGCGTAGCCAGCATTCTTAGCTATTTGACTCAACAGCACATTAGCTTCAAATCGATTACGTCATGGCGGCATACGTCCTGTACCGTTTGTTTCACGGCCCTATCTGTGACCACCCAACCACTTCGTCGCATATTATTGATCATATGCCGCTTAGCGTACTGTACCAGCACTGCACATTGCTGATCTCGCCTTTGACCCCCTCCCTCCCCAGGGCATACTTTGCCCGCCAAGTAATGGTATAAATAGTGGACCCTCATCAATACTGTCATTACCCTTGTTTTCTTCAGTCTTCGCTGCCGGCTGAAATAATTTCATTTTTGTTTCTTTTATTTGTTCGCATTGTACACTTTCGTTCTGTTACTTGCAATTCGCATAAAAGTTCTCTATTAAGGTTTTTTTGGCACAGTCCTTCGTCCAAGCTTCATCTTACTAGTGGATTCCCGGTGTAACCGGTCGATACCACAACAGAGAGGTCACTCACTACCCCGTAGCAACTTGGGGGCCGAACCAACTTGGACAGGAGGTGCCAAGTTTGAGCTTTTAGCTGTATCCCGTGACGACACGGTGGAGGACAGTGGAAAGGGAGTCGGGAGCTGGACTAGTTGGCTCAGAGTCAACTATTGATCAGCTGTTCATAACTACTGGCAGCAGTCCAGAAGAGGTACTGGTCAAAAAGGAGGGACGTTACTTGAACGTTGACGACGGGTCCCTCTTGAGTTGGCCCCACGATGGCGGAACAGGAATTCCCCATCAGTGAGCTGAACGAGGTTGAATAACGGGCGGGAGGGGGGAGGGAGTGATTCGCCAAGATCCACTCGTGGAAGGACGTCGTGGCGACGGCTCGGAGAGCAGGAAAGAACGCTCCTGCCCCTACCGGATGGCTTCAGGGATGTTAAACGAGCTTCAAGCCCAGCGGAATTTTTCGATTAGGAAGCTTGTAACTGGAGCTATCGGAAGTTCCCAAATTGGCTGGAGAACACGAGCAAGTATAATGCATCGGTCGTGGGCCCGACAACAGCTGCTACTCCCTCCACGAAAGATTGGTGCCGAGTAGCTTCAGCCGCAACAGCATGTTACGGAGTAAAGGTGGTTGCTCTGGCACCACCAAGAGGAGATTCAGCTTATACGCGGAATCGCATGGAGCTGAATCAAGCCGTCGACCTCGCCAAGAAATCTGTATCGCTCATGTAGCGCAACATCGTTATCCTCATCCCGATGCTGGAAAACAGCTTAGAACGCGTCTCGATGACCCGGTCAGACCCACCCTCGCCAGTCCCACGCCCACGCTTACTCGAGGGAGGCAATGATGGAGTACTTCAGGGCGATGGTTGACTACCTAAGGGCTGAGGTACACCTCCCGCCGTTCACCTCGACCGCACGCTCCGCAAGGACAGAAAGAGTTCGTAATTATTTGAGAGAGGAAACAAACTTATCGTATGCTGAACAGAAGCCGTTCGCAATCGCATAGGGATCTCGACCACCAAAACACAAGAATTCGTCAATACTCACGTACGCCGAACTCGTCCACGATGTTGCCCGTTGGCCAAGCGTCATGTGCAGTGCAGCAGGGGATATACCCGCCATTAGGAGGACCGTAGCGGCGGGACGCCGCTTCCCCTAGGGGGAGAGATGTGACCACCTAATCACTTCGTCGCATATTATTGATCATATGATTGCCGCTTAGCGTACTGTACCAGCACTGCACATTGCTGATCTCGCCTTTGACCCCCTCCCTTGCCCAGGGCATACTTTGCCCGCCAAGTAGTGGTATAAATAGCGGACCCTCATCAATACTGTCATTACCCTTGTTTTCTTCAGTCTTCGCTGCCGGCTGAAATAATTTCATTTTTGTTTCTTTTATTTGTTCGCATTGTACACTTTCGTTCTGTTACTTGCAATTCGAATAAAAGTTCTCTATTAAGGTTTTTTTGTGGCACAGTCCTTCGTCCAAGCTTCATCTTACTAGTCAGGAGGTGCCAAGTTTGAGCTTTTAGCTGTATCCCGTGGAGACACGGTGAAAGGCAGCAAAAAGGAGGTCGGAGGGCCGGATTTGTTGGCTCCCCTTTAGAATGGGGTCGAACCAACTCGGAGAGAAGGGCAAAGATTCGAGCTCCGGAGCTGTATCCCGTGCAGAAACGATGAAAGAAAGTGAAAAGGGAGTCGAATAGCCGGATTAGGAACGAGGTTGAACCAACCTGGAAGGGGGTACTGAGATTGAGCTTCCTAGCTGTATCCCGTGACGACACGGTGGAGGACAGTGGAAAGGGAGTCGGGAGCTGGACTAGTTGGCTCAGAGTCAACTATTGATCAGCTGTTCATAACTACTGGCAACAGTCCAGAAGAGGTACTGGTCAAGAAAGGAGGGACGTTACTTGAACGTTGACGACGGGTCCCTCTTGAGTTAGCCCCACGATGGCGGAACAGGAATCCCCATCAGTGAGCTGAACGAGTTGAATAACGAGGGAGTGAGGTTCGCCAAGACACTCGTGGAAGGACGTCGCGGCGACGGCTCGGAGGCAGGAAAGAACGCTCCTGCTCCTTCCGGATGGCTTCAGGGATGTTAACGACGCTTTCAAGCCACAGCGGAATGTCGATAGGAAGGTGTACTGGGAGCCCTGGGAGCTATCGGAAGTCCCAAATTGGCTGGAAACAACGGAAGCAAGTATATGCATCGTCGTGGGCCCAACAACAGCTGCTGCTCCCCTGGCACCACCAAGCGGAAATTCAGCTTATACGCGAAATCGCATGGAGCTGAATCAAGCCGTCGACTCGCAAAGAATCTGTATCGCCTTTGAGCGCAACATCGTTAGGCCTCAGTCCCGATGCTGGGAAAGGCAGCCTAAAACCTGTCATGGCCCCGTCACCCACCCTCGCCTAGTCCACGCCCACGCTTACATCGAGGAGGCCAGTGATGAGAAGTCTTCAGAGTCATGCGTTGACACCTACCTATAATGGGCTGAGTACACCTGCCCGACGTATCAACCTGGACCGGGCACGCCTCCGCCGCAATATGTGGAGTCACTTCAGAGTACATGCGTTACTACCTAGAGGGCTGAGGTACACCTCCCTTCACCATTGGACCGCACGCTCACGCCAAAGGGACAGAACGAGTTCGTAATTATCTGTTACGAGAGAGGAAAACATATATCGTATGCGACAGAAAGCCGTTCAGCAATCGCCATTAGGAGATCTCGACCACCCAAAACACAAGAATTCTCCTAATACTCACGTACGCCAGAACTCATCGACGGATGTCGTCCGTCCAAGCCAGTCCAGTCTCGGTCAAGCAGAAGGATATAACCCGCCATGGAAGGAGACCGTAGCGGTCCCCTAGGGGGAGAGATGTGACACCCAATCGCTTCGTCGCATATTATTGATCATATGATTTAGCATACAGTACCAGCACTGTGCATTGCTAATATCGCCTTTGACCCCCCCCACTCAGGGGCGTATACTTTGCCCGCCATCGAGTAATGCGTGGTAAAAATACGTGGCTTCCTCATCAGTACTGTCACCACCCTTGTTTTCTTCACTCTCCGCTGCCGGTTGATATAATTTCATTTTTGTTTCTTTTATTTGTTCGCATTGTACACTTTCGTTCTGTCACTTGCAATTCGCATAAAGTTTTCTATTAGGGTTTTTTTTGGCACAGTCCTTCGTCCAAGCTTCATCTTACTTGTGGATTCCCGGTGTGTAAGCCGGTTCTGATAACCACAACAGGGGCAGAGTGGTCACTCACTACCACGTAGCAACTTATCTTTTAAATTGCGACAATAGAGAAATCGTTTTCTTCACGTTCTAGCACTGAATGCTATTCCGTAAATGAAACCATTCAATAACTAACGTGATCGACGAGTCGAAACTTGAAACAGTAAGAAGGACATTCGTTCAACGTGTCGACATTTTTTGAGGTAAGTTTCGTGAAATACAACGATGTCAGTACGTAGGCGTTTCATAAAAAGTGAAGTTTTGAGCGTCGAAGTTGCAGCGACCATGGCACGCTGTCTTCATACCCTGCTTCAGCGTTTGAGCGTTCTGAGCGCGAGACAGCGTGGAAGCGGGAAAGCATAGGTACCCATCTAGCGTTTTGAGCACTTTCAGCGACTGCTCCCGAAAAGCTCAAAACTATCTGCGAACGCTCAGAACGCTGGCTTACGCTCAGAACGCTAGATTGATACCCTAAAGCTTATTAGCTGCTCAAACGCTGACGCAAAGTTAGAAGCGCTTTCCAAGGGAAGACAAGTAGCGTTTCGCGGCGTGATCCTGGCCAATAACCAGAGGGATGGTTCGACATCTGCACTAAATCCGTACAACTCCCATCATAGGGCTGCTCACCGATAGGGTGGCCGCGTTGCGAGAGCATGCCAGTGCCGACAAACTCGATAGCGCAATGATGATCTTGTTACACTGTGAGGGAATTGATACAATTTTTGACCAAGGGAATGGGGAGCCAGTCCGGATTCCGTTCTGAGATAATTGAATAAGATGAATATACAGTCAGTAGTATATCCCGTACCAGCGTTCAACATTCATTTGCTTAACATGGAACTAAATAAAAATAATAGCATCAAAAGGAACGTGCCTCTGCTTGACTAATCCTCTCCAATTCAAACGCGGGTGCGGTGTACACAGCGGGAGAGAGCTTACTACATTCCATATTTCTGTAAATATTTTTTCCAGATGGTCAGTTAGGCATGATTGCTGGGAGACGGGCCGGTGCCGCGCGTTACTATTCGCAGACATTGGGGATGGCTGCAAATAGGAGCGTCTGCACACCACCCTTAGCTTTCCACAAATTGACGCTTGGTGAACCGCTCGAACCCAGCTCGGCAGCATAGTGTGATACTGGTAGAGTGGATCATGCGGTACGCAAGTTTCACCTTGCAGCATCAAGCGGAATGAAGCTCGGAGGTGGGGGCATAGGTGGATTTTTTATAGGCCCGCGCGCGCCTCGCACATCACGCCACACGGTACGGCATCACGCCGAATCAAGCCATACAGATAGCCTAGCCCAACGCGCTACTTTTCTGTGCCTCTCCCCGTCTGACTGGGGTGCTGTTTTGCTCGGGTCTGGCTGCATACTTCAGCAGCGTTCCAACCTGCCTCAGTACAGAGACATTGTCTCGGCGAGTGGCAGGTTTATGAGATGGCGGAGCGGCAGAAAGAACAGCCAGCTATCCCTACCTTCACAACTTCATTCAGCGCGCTTTTTTGGAGTCCAGCGAGGTAACGAGGGTTTCGACCCTTCTACAGCTGTGGACGTCTATCTCGCAGGGTTAACGCATACAGCTGCGTCAAATTAATTGGCACTATTAACTATTCCTACCCCAGAAGACTCAAAAAAATTTTTTTTCGCTGAAACGTTGCCTATAGGTGTAATTCGATGCCTTCATCACGTATGTCACATTCGATTCCAGCGCTGGCGTGATTTGGCGCCATTATGCGCCAATTTGGCGCCCACCACTTTTTTCACCAAAGTTGATGAAAACTTGCATATGGGGAGTTAATTGAGGTCCTGATTACGAATCCAACATTCATTTTCGGCGCTGGCGCCATTTGGCGCCATTACGCGCCAATTTGGCGCCATATTGGCGCATAATGGCACCCAGTGGCGCCAGCGCTTGAAACCAGTGTGATATTCGTAATCAGCACCTCAATTAACCCCATATGCAAGTTTAATTCATCAACTCTTGCCGTAAAAAAAGTGTGGTGGCGCCATGATAGGCGCCTAATGACGCCTCAATAGGCGCTCAAGCGGATGTTTGATACTCGTTATCAGCCGGCATCGAATTTCATTTATAGGGCACGTATTCAGCGAAAAATTTTTTGAGATTTTCTGGGGTAGGAATAGAATAGTGCCAATTAATCATATCACGAACAAACTTACAAGTTACGTGCATTTGCTTTGACCTTTTCGTTGCCTTCTATTGGCGCCTTGATCTGTGATCGTCCTGCTGCGCCGTTCGAGTTTCATGTCTATAAAAGCTCAGGATTGGAAATGCTTATAAAAAAACGCATAGTCTGGTTCAATGCGGATGATGGTAGTGTACCCAGCCGTACAGATTTGGCGCGGTGCAAGCCCCGTTTCCAGTTGCTGTTGAAGCAGGTAAGCGACAAGACCGTATCGTATCGTGCTTTCAATATTTTGACGCAGCGCCAGACCCGTTCCCTACCAGTTGTTGAAGCGGGTAAGCTAAAACAACTGATGATGGAAAAATATTGAAAGCACGGATACGATACGCTCGCAGTTCAACGGCTTCAACAGCAACTGGAGACGGATTTCTCGCCGCGCCAAATCAATCTCGCCAGACACACCCCTTCATCCGCAGCGACTGTACAATAAAAGGTATAGGATGTCGGGCAAGTCAAAACGCATTGGATCAACAGGAAGTCAATGATCACTCTTACTGATTGCTCCGATGAGTGGAAGAATTGGCTGTCGATGAGCGTCCACGAACAGGTGGTGAACGAACCATGGGAAGGTGTTCGCGCAGATTATCCAGGTCGATGTGCGCTTGCTGCCAGCAGGACTGCAAATGCCGTTCAATGTCATTAAATAGAAAAATGTAAGAAGTGAGCAAAAGTTACCTCACACATGTACTTGAGACAACGTAAGCTGTGGGCAGAAATTACGTGCTCTATTTTTTTGGCAAATATCGCACTGTGTCAGCCGCATCAGATAAGGTTTCAATTCGACCTCAAACAAAGCTAGTTGACTTCTCAGTTGCTTCATACTTTGCGTCAGCGTTCTGAGCTCGTTGAGAAAGTAGGCGCGCTCAAAAGACTGCCGTACGATGAATGGATACCAGTACTTTCCTAATCGCTCACAACGTTGAAAACGCTGCCATGTGCTCGAAACGTGACGCAAAGGATAAACGCACTTTATAATTGCGGCAGAGGTGTGGAAACATGACGTGAAAGTTGCACCTTTCAAATTCATTATCAAGTTCGTCTGCAAATAAGATCGTACCTTCTTGAAACAGTCCGTAAATTTGAAGGACGTAAAACGACGAGCGATGGCAACGAGAAAGGAATCTCGATATCGAAATACGACACATCCAGCCCCTTTCGGATAATCCGTTTCCACTTCAACCTGAATGAAATTATGTTGGTCAGGCTGCGTTCATACTTTTCGTCAGTGTTTTATTGTATTTGTTTTTCGCATAGGCGACCGAATAAAAACAATTTAAGATGAATTCCATAGAATTATGAGCCGTATTTCGGACATCGTAATTCAAAGAGTATCGACTTGCCTCAATTTGTGCCATGATAACATCACCGAATGCGAGTGACATGAAATCGAACAGCTCCTCTGAACGGAACAGCATCAGTTCTGCTTTGAACTTCATATGGTATAAAGTGAATGCCAGTAACATTTGTGAAAATAACTCGAAAGGATGTTCATAGGTGCTAAATGGTGGCAATCACGGAGTCAGTTCAAGCAAGCGAGCTGGCAGTTACAGTCGTCATAGCCTGATGAGCTAGCAACACGGAGGCAGAGCTGGTTAGAGCTTCTGCTGATTCACAGTACTGAAAAATTGGTCGGAACAAAAATGAAGTGACTGCGGTTTCATCTCTGGTTGTTCTTGCGCTTCCTTTTCAGTCTAGTGCTCAATTATCGCAGTCTAACTGTAAGCAGAAAAATCACGAGGGCACTATTCCAGATGGTCTGCACCAGTGTTCTTACCAGAGAGATATGCTTGCCACCTCACCGTAGAGAAGGCAGCATTCACACATCACGATGACCCGCGTCGACACGGTGTACATTGCATAGACGCGCTTTAATCGCAACAGCGCTCCAGTACTGTGCAATACTAACGCAGCCGCAGACGGCGATAGACTGGCGCCTGCTGTGTACGTTTGAGAGTATACAGGCTGACAGGGAGACGGGCAGAATCGTAAATTGCCGCTTAGTCGCGCGCGGCAATAGATGCGACCATCCGTGATTCTGCTACCCCTTCAAATGGAGCATCGTATTTCATGTAGGCAAGGTCATGGTAGACACTTCTGTCTAGTTTTGGTCATACATTGTCTACTCTCGACAATACCAGCTAAAACCGTTGTCATTGTAGAGCGCGACGTCGCACGCGACACCCACTAGAAGGGCGAATTACGATTCTCTTGCTACACACTGGCTAACAAGTGGGAGCTGCCTTCACACAATCTGGGACTCTCATACTCTTCCTTACTCTTCCAAAGCACTGCCGGCCAGTCACTACGGACAACTTGAATTCACTCTCTGAACGCATCGATCTTACCTTTCTCTCTGCACTCTCTCGTCCGCATGGCACCCTATGGCCGTTGTGATTTCGCTCACTCCAGCTTTTCACCAACTATAAGAAGCTCACCCGCTCCCCTTGAAAAAAGCCCCGTTTCCTGGCTCGCCATACGTTTTTTGCACGTTTCGATGCTTTGGCAGCCGCTGCCCTCTATCCGTCTGCGTCACAGGGTTTCGTAACAGGACCATGCACAAAAGTTCAAGATGTCACGTAACCGTGAGGCAACGCGTATCCTCCTGTTCCCCATACTATCTCAAACAGTAAGTCTGTGGCTGCATACGCGCCTATAGTACTGGGGCGATGTTGTCATTCGCAGCACGTCGCCGCGAGCCATCGCGAAGTGTGAACGCTACCGAAGGGGTGGAAGGATAGAGGAGGAAAATCGAAGCTACAGCCTTCAATGATCGTATGGGATGCACTTCACAGCCCTAGAATGGAAGATGCATCAATGAGAAAAGCGCAGTGGTTCTCTGTTTACGCCCATGGGATCAACCTGGAAGTGCCTTGAATTCCTTCTCTGCTCGTCCGGAACCCACTTACTCTACAGTACAACTCCAAATAGAAGAGACATTATGAAGAGTATCACGAAGGAACTCACTAGCTGTCACTGTACGAGGAAGACCTCCAACAAATACGGCATTCTTAGTAAGTTTGTCCGTGAAATCCAGGTTATTTTCGATGCAGTATTTTGCATTTCTGTTCAACCACACTCGAATATGAATCTGAACTTGTTAAGAAGTATACACCTCGTGGAATAAGCGGACGCAATTCAGCGGCGGGGTGGGGGCATTCATTAGCTTCGCTGCTTCCCATTGTCGCGTTGAGCCATCAAGTACAGATCTGTGAAATCTTGTGAAGCCATGAAGTGATACCAGTCAAAGTTTGTCGAAACTACTTGTCAACTCTTCCAAAGCAATGAACACGGAGGAGCAGAAAGCGAAAATGCAAAATGCCCCTCCCCGGAGAAGGACCGAACTGCGTCCGAATAACAGTTCACTTACAATAGCGTAACGATGACCGCAAACAGGTGCTGAGATAGTATACTTTCCGTTAAAGCTGGAACACTTGTTGAGCAACCCAATTACAGAATCGGCTGAAGCGAATACTGCAAACGCGTAGCCTGGAAAAAATCCGGAAAGATGGAGTTCTAGGAAATTCAGAAATTACGCAGCAACTGAAAAATTATCGAGCAACCGCGACCTTGCTCCGACTCTCCGTTTTCTGCAAGTGGCCACACAATCTGTACAGAACCGAAGGCGGAGAAAAATCGTTGGAGATCATCTGTAACGATAAAATTGCGTTCATACTTTGCGTCAGCGTTTTGAGCGTACTGCAGTGTTTTGGGAGTTTCGAGGGTACGGCAGCGTTATGAGCGTACTGAGCGACTAAGAAAGTATAGATATCGATCGCTGTCTCGAGCGTCCATCAGCGTTTTGAGCTTCTGGCGTGCAGTCGCCGAGAATGCTGGCGTATTCTCAAAACGTTAGATCGATGCCTATACTTTCCTAACCGCTCGAAACGCTGCGGCATGCTCAAAACGCTGATGCAAAGTATGAACGCAGCCCTAACTTCAAATGAAAGCAGCAGTCAAAATGAAGCTTTCAAGCAACCTGAATTAGTGTAAGAAGGAAGGCCACCCAGGAAAACTTTACGGGAGTAAGTCGTTTGAGGATGGTGGCCCAGGAGCATGAGACGCATTTCGCGCTCAAATTCCTCGTCATCGTCAGTTACTGGAAAGGAGAATTTCTGCCAGGTGCTTGAGAAAACGTTCTGTAACATGCTAATGAAATTTCCAAAAGTACTACATACCATTATCACCAACTATCGCAGTAGACTGTGAGTGGAAATTATGCGAAGTTTCTGGGTCGTTGCCTTCTTCACAAATTGAAGCTTCACCCTGCGCGGAACAACCGGTGGTTATTATTGAAATAGGATTTGATTCACCAGCTTTCGTTCCCATAGAATTTGGATCGTACCCTGAAAAATAAGCACTCTAAAGTAGGAGCTAATTAAGTCGCGCTTTTACTTTGCGTCTAAGGAGATTCGGCGACTTGTGAGACTCGGCGGCTTGAGACTGGTCGACCAGGAATATATAGGTATCGATTTGGCGATTCGCAAGACTTGGCGTTTCCCGCGACGAGCCAGAAAAGTAGACGGGTATCGATCGACACCGGTCGCTAGCGATCGCGGAGATTCGGCGTCAGCGATGTGGGAGAGAGCTATCCAGCGATTTGAGTGACTGGGCGCTTTGGCGTTTCGGGAGATTGCCAGGTGGCCAAATCTGCGCAATTGCTAGAGACCGGCGTCAGTCGACACCCGTCCACTCGCTTGACGCGCATCGTCGGAGACGCCGAGTTTCCCAAATCGCTAAAGCGCTCAATCTCCGCAGTCGCTAATCAATACCTATACTTTCCCCGTCGTACAATCTCTCAAATCGTCGAATCTTTTCGGTCTCCATGTAAAAACGCGCCTTACTCTCTGCTTTTTCAGGCGTTCGTGCTGGTGACTGGTAAAATAAGAGAATAGGTCAGTCATTTTAAAGACAGCCCCCGCGCTCAAGTAGTACATGGTCGTCCTTCCTTGTGCAAGTAGTACAGCCCCCAAGCTAGAGACTGTCCCACTCTCGCGACTCCACAGCGAGCGAGGAGCGAGCTACAGCCGCTGAAAGTTCTAGTTCTAACGCCCGCTCAGTTGGACCGCCCACTTGCTAGATGCCCTCTGACGGAGGGCCGCTCAGTTGTTCTTTGTTGGGGCGGCGGGCATTAATCGGAATTGCATGCCCTTTTTGCTGACCGCGCTCGTGCCCATGAATAATTCTGCTCTCCTTTATTACATTTTATTCATTAGGAGCACATACAGTCAACTCCAACCCATCTCGCAAGGTAAAACGCGTAAAAATCACGAGCGACCCAATTTTCGTGGTGCAAAAGCTCGACGCACTACACTACACTAAAAGATGCACGCTACCGTAACCCTAAATTCGGACGCCGAGTTTTTGAAAGTTTCTTTTCCTTTTCAAGAGTTTTTCTTCCGTGTTTTTCGTTGTTTTTCGTATTCTTTTCTTTGCATTGGATGATATCCACTACTGGGAGATGATAAAGGAATTTGTGAGCCAGGGGTTGCACAGAGACCGCAGGGAGGTGTGACTGTCAGGGACATACGCTAACGCGATTTTGTTTATGGTGTTCTTGAGGACTCTTCTTGCTTTTTTCTTCTTTGGGGATTACTTATCAGCTACTGTTTCATAATTGAAAAGCAACTATCCATGACACTTTTATCGCGGAGCTGTCTTCAAGCGTACCTTAGCGTATGCTCAAAGCGCTGACGCAATGTATGAACACCCTGAAGCTTTAACCTACCCAAGCGGATCTGGTACCACTTCACCATCCGCGGCAGGTACAAGGTTTAGTTAGCCTGCGCCCATACGCTATACTTTGAGGAAAGATATCCACTCAGCAACCTCCTTTGTAAAGCATCGCAAACATACCTGGCCTTCCCCGTGCAATCCTCTATAGACACCGGCGCTGCCAGGCCACTTCTCTTGAGATGAGCAACGCACTTGATACCGGAAGCGCACAAAACAAGGGTATTGATCGCACAGTCGCGCGCGACGGTGCGATCAATACCCTTGTTTTGTGCGTCTTCCGGTATCAAGTACGGGGTTTCACCAATTTGTCGATCGGCGCAGTGAAATCGCGGAGGTAAGACTAAATGCTGAATGGTATCGTTCTTACTCGTGCCTTTAAACATCCAAATTGAAATGGCCTTGGCAGGAAAACTCGTCTCTTACATGCGCAGCATCGCTCATCCCGTCCAGGAAATTGCATATTGCGATTGTCTTATCGTATCCACCCCTTGTTGCCTCACAATGGCTTTTGGGAACCTTCCTGCCCGTGACATAAGGGCCAACCGATTTTCAGAAAACCGGCCCATCGATTTCCAGAAAATCAGTGGAATATCCTGGGAATGAAGCTTACAGATTTACTTGGCTTCACGGCACAGGTCTAAATTGTCTCACTATATTCAGAAGACTTCATGAAAAGGGTCCGGATCAGAACAGAAAAGTATTTGTTACAGCCAGGAGAATGAAGGCGTTTTCTGATCCAGGAGAGGGTAGAGAGAAATAAAGAGCAGGTGGCTCCGGAGTTAGTGAAGCATTTATTTCTAGTGGTTTCAATGGTCTACGGACAACTAAAACTCAATCCCTTTAATGGCGCCAACTTTCTTCTTTTCTCTGCGCTCTCTTGCCTGAATGGCGATTTATGGCCACTTTGACCTTTCACATTCCAACTTTTCACGCATACTAAGTGGCTCATCCACCCCGGTGTCCCTCCCTTCGAAAAAGCTCATCTCCTGGCTCGCATAAGTGTTTTTTCTACCTCACGATGCCTTGGCTGTAGCAGTCCCTTATTGCTCTGCGCTCTGGCCTATCGTGGCAGGACCCCCACCAAAAGTTTTAGTTGTCACGTAACCGCTTTCAGTTGCTGTACTGAAATGTCCTACTTCACTGGATTAGGTGGTAATGAAGGAACATTTGTCTAAAACGAACCAGCAAATCAATCCTTACCTCCTGCACTACTAGAGTCTGGGCAAGACATAAATTCATAGACTGTTAGTAATCTGAAGCAGAGGGTTCTATTGACTGTAAAAAAATGGCGCTATAGAAATACACAGAGATGCTTGCTCGGGAATGCGTTCATACTTCTCGATCCGATCGCTTGGGTCGTGTCCATTGATTGGCGGTGAAGCGGAGCCAATCGGTGGATCGACGGCGAAGTCGCGCGATTGGACCGCGATGTGTGAACGCGCGCTTATCCTGCCAGCAAGCACAACCATTCTGTGAAGTCTAGCAAGACTCTTGTCAAATATGCGTAACGACAGTAAAATTTGATTGTTCTGGGATATGGAAGTAAAAAAAAGCTAAGAAATGTAGGGAGGGGTGCATAAAACGATTGTGAGCCAGGATGAGAGTGTTCGGCAAAGTCAGAGGAAAGAACCTCGGGATGAGTGATTTAACTGCACATCCCCTCGCAGCATAAAATGCCGTCCAACGCAAGAAAGAAGAGATGGCGTAGAATGGAGCTCGTGAAAACTAGTTCTACGAGCAGCTTACAGGAACTCATAAATGGTCTGGTAATAGGCAGAAATCAACAAGATGAGCGCTATTGTACAACCGTTATCCCTGAAGTCAGCCTGAGCGTGGGTTTTGGTGCGGAGCCAGCTTATTTCGCAACGATCATTGTGCCTTGGGGTGTTCAGAGTAGCGGGAAAGGAAAGGGGCAGGCGGCGCGCCAAAACCCACGTCTTCGATACATCACGACTGATTCCACTTACAACGACCGTAGTGCGGGAAGGCACCACGCGGCTCGCGTCCTTTCCCCAAAGATCCAACTTACTAGTTGCCGACAGGCAGTTGCGCAGAGGAGACATATCCAGAGGCTTATAGTGTGGCCGACAGGCAGTTGCGCAGCAGGAGACAATAGCTCTTCTTGCATAGCCTACAAGGCCTCAGCTAATTGGTCAGCGGGATCGAATATGGAACCAAACCGATGATCCACCCAAAATGCGTTAGCGCTAAAATTTTCGCGCCAGCCGCGCAAGGAACTAGGGCTAGAATGACCAGGAATGAGGCGTTTGCCCGGTTGGTAGTTTTTACCGTAAATAACACGTTGATAGAATTATAGACCTGTTAGTGACCTGTTATGACAGGTTTGGATGTGATTCTCATGGAAACAGACGCTGTGACTTGTCAAGACGTCCTGGGTAAACTTCAGGAGTCTCGGCTCTTACAAGGGAGGTCGTTCAGGGCGTGGCTCCGCACCTTTTTCGAAACGGTTTATTGCACTTTGTAGGGCCTTGCCCATGAACCGTAAAAGTGGGCTTCGTTTTTGCTGTGCGGCCCCTGGAATGCCAAAAAAGGAGCGAAAAGAAACCTATAGAAACTGATTGTTTTGCCCTCTACGACCTGTAAACCGCTTGAAAGTTTGACTAGTTACTGAATGGAGGTACCCTGTAAAGGTGCTATCGGAATCGAAGAGGAAAAGTAGTTGGGGTATGGGGTCTTACTTGTGGCACGTAATCAAGCGTGAACGGCTTCCATGGAAGTGGTTTCTTCAACGATCGGAGGAACGTCCAGCATCAGCGATCGGGATGGCCTAGTGGATAGCGTGAAGGATCCCAACGGCGGACGTTGGGTCGGTACGGATACACGCGACGGTTGATGGTTCGAGCTCCCTCGGCGTCGCGAGCTTTTGCATTTTTACTGTTTTGGCTGTTTTCGGCGTTCAAATATGCTGCTGCGAACTGAAGTAATGGCGCGATTCGGAAACTGCCGATTTATGGACACATTTCAAATGGCGAACAGCGAGTGTCAATGGATATCAGTGCTATTCAATTATTACAGGTTTTACATACCATTAAGCAAAACCGTAATTGAAAGTTGACCTTTATAGGTCAGACCATGCCCGAATCACGAATATGGAACTTATTTGTAGCTACGCGACCCGCCAGCGGCCGCCCGTCCGCAATTGCCCCCGCCGGCCAAGCGTCGTCTGTCGTCGGATGCGTCCACCTCCCCCGCTGCAGGGGCTGCGCGGGGCGCTCGCCCGGGCGTTCGGCCATTTATCGCTCTGGAGAGGCTGGCGACAGGTTTCTCCCAATGAATGCCGATTTTTGCTGCACACAAGTAAGGGTGTATGTATTGCTACCCAGGCGCCAAATTACGTCGGCGCCGAAAATAAGTGTGAAAATCATGATCGGGACCATCGATTACCCCTGTAAACAATCTTTCGGCCAAAAAAATTTTTTTCGACTTTTTTGGTGTGTGCGGTTGGGTTGTGCCCGACAGTCTTTTTCATAGAAGTCTACAGTGCCTCGCCAAAGGGACCCCCTATTTTATTAATATCCAAAGATAAAAGTAACAATGCCGATGAAATTCATGCAAAGAGGAAGGAAAGGAAGGCATTCCACCAGGTTTGCTGTCCTGCCGGCGGTTGCTTACGTTCGATTCCGTTCCAAAAAATTCGTCGGTCTTACGAATATGGGGATTCTCCGGTCACACTGGACCAAATAGGTCCACAAAACCCAAAAAAAATCGAGAAAATTTTTTGGCTGGAAGTTCGTCCATAAGGGTAATCGATGGTCCTGATTACGATTTTGACACTTATTTTCGACGTCGACGCAATTTGGCGCCAGTATAGCGCTTAACGTCCCTCATATGGGGGTACATAGACGTAACTTTCACTCCTTTTTTGGCATTCCAAGGCCCTACAAAGTGCAATAAACCGTTTCGAAAAAGCGGGGTCACGCCCTGAACGACCTTCCTGGTTAGCCCCTTAAAGAAAGGCGCGGCAGAGCGCAGACGACTAGAAAACCACCGCGTCGAATGCAAGGTATGAATGAAGAGGGTGAGAGAACGAAGAAGTCGCGGAAAGGACTTGATGGCACTTTCCGAGTGTTTCGAAACAGGAGGGGTGGAGTAAGCAGATTGATTCAAACTAAATTTTTCGCGCGTTCTCGGATCCTTAACACTGGCGAACTACTATCAGAGCAACCTACGGACAGATCGGGCCGATTTTATGCATAGTTTGTCAGTTACGTGACTACTCGAACTCATAAGGGCGGTAACGCGATCGGGGGAGGGGACTGAAAGAGCGAAATAGGTGTAGACGAGGTTAAGATTTCAGCTGCAAAGCAAACTATGATGTTTGTGGGAAGAAAAGTTAGCCGCCCCGGGCAAGCCTGGTTTAACAAAGTTGAGTGAGAAATCAATGAGGCACCGTTAGGACTTCGCGACGACGCGCGTCGATGCGCTTTAACGCGCTGCAGTTGCAACAGGTCTCCAAGACCATGGACGCGATCGCAGCCGCAGACGGGAATCGATGGACGCGGCTTGCGTATTGAGAGTGTATGGGGGAACTGTAGAGTACACCTTGCCTATCACGCATTCTAGTATGCTTCGGCACTGACCACTGAGGCGGCGCGATCGATTCCCGTCTGCGGCTTCGTTCGCCGTCCATAAGAATGGGGCGCAGTGGCAACTGTAGCGCGTTACAGCGCGTCGACGCGAGTTGCGAAGTCTGAACGCTGCTTAAGACTTTATTGCCTGCAACTTGTCGTCCGAGCTTCAGAGCCGAGGCGTGGTAGACCGTAGGCGATCGCCAGCTGTCGCTCTTGCCCTCAAAGACTAAGGTGGGGAGCTTTTTATGTCGCGCGGTAGCACACTTTGAGTGATTCGAGGAAAAAGTCCGAAAAAAAATCGTAAAAGAATCCGAAATAATTATACAAAGCCAAACCCCTCGAAGGCTTCGAGATTGCGATTGCCCCTGACGAGCGTCAGTTTTGCGCGAGGGCAGAGTATGCGGAAGGCACGTGTGTTTGCCGAAATGAGCGACGCCAAAGTTTGACCTGAACTATTCCCCCCCCCCCTTCCTCTTCGAATTCCACACCTAAGTGGGCTGTCGGAGGCGTAAATGAGGTCTCATGCCTATCAGAGCGATAGTAGTGGTTTGCGACTTATCAGACGAAGTGTGCCTCATTTTTACTTTTAGTCCATAATGATCAGTTTTATAAATTACATCATAGTACAAAGTTGCTTGTGTGAGTTGTCAGTTGTTATTCACGGCGTTAAGGCAGTTGGAGGGGGTGGGGGGGGCACGCTTCACTGCGCCCGTAATCGCCTGCGCTCTTCTGGAGAGCAGCGCGCACGAAGATCTTTCGGTGGAAGGCGCAGACAAGCCCCCATTGTTGCGCTGCCGCATGCCGGCGCCATCTCACCCACCACCCCCCCCCCCGCCCCTCCAAACTATGTGGCTACAGTATCAGGTAACGTCAGGTGATTTTTCCACTATTTCCAGTAATCATCTCACTCTGCTTATGTATTACAAAGAAGAGAAAGTTTAAAAAACCACATCAAATACCTCCAGTTTCTGCCAAGACATGTGAGCCTTTCCATCATTATTCAATGCATAATTTGGCCTAACCGAGTAGAGCAGGGCTGCACGGCTGCACCTCTGCGTCCCTTCCAATAACCAAGATTGAGGCCTGAAGCGCGGATGCCCTAGCCGCCGCGGAGTTTCCTCGCACACCAGAGTCCTTATTGCTGCGTTCATACTTTGCGGCAGCGTCCACCAGCGACAATAGCGTCCACCAGCGTTCCGAGCGTCCGGCAGCGTCAGCGACTAGGAAAGTATAGATATCGATCTAGCGTCTGCCAGCAGCTTACACTAGCGACCGGGCAGCAGAGTGCTGGTTAGCGAGTATGTGGCGACTAGGAGAGTATCCGTCGTCTGCCCCCCCCCCAACCTCCTATCGCCGCCATACTGCCCACAGTAGATCACTAGTCGCTACCCTCCTATTTCCCCACACTCTACCAGCTATCTGCTAACCTCCTTTCCCGCTCACGGACGCTGGCAGACGCCGGCAGGTGCTAGAGCGATACCTATGCTTTCCTAGCCATCAAGGCGTTGGTGACGCTGGCGCTGGTGCACGCAAGCGCTGGTGCACGTTACTGGTCGCTGGTGGACGCTGCCGCAAAGTATGCACGTAGCGTCATGTGAACTACGCTACGAATCGCTAATCGCTTGTTCGCTACGAATGG